TTCCCCAGGTCTTTAAAAATAAAATATTTTTAAGTATTAACGATAAGTGTAACTTGCTTGCGATTCTGCCCAAACAAGTACTTCTGTACTGGCATCCAGTTTGCGCTTGTCTAAATTAATTTCTTACATTTACAAAATGGTCCTACAATATCAGAAATAGGCCTTTTTAATGAAAATAAAGGTCCCTGTTTGATAAAAATTTTCCTGACATTAAATCAATAATTTAATTAAACTAGAAAATATTTAAGATATTGTTGCTTAATTTAGTTTTATACACGTTTACTGGGTTTTACGTGATTCTTTTGTAGTGTGGTTTCGGTGAAGTGTACTAAAACAAACATTGGCTAGATCCCAAATGGCACACTTCATGTGGACCCGTGGTCTCAGGGCCTTCAATAGCACGTGCTCGCAAAGTGTCGGCATTCGAAGACTTTGGCGAGGCCCACACTTTCGCACCCTCCACAAGAGTTACCTACCCAGGAATCATTGCGAACGCCTAATCATATAAATGAGGGGAGGAGTTGTATGACTGTTTGACTTTCAGTGGTATCATATCATCAAGTCTGTCTTAAAACACACTCTCGCATGGACTCGAGGCCAGAGCTTCTCAGGTCTGCACTTCCTGACATCACCAAGTGTGAACTCGAAGACATTCTAAAGGAAGAGGCAGAGGAAATTATTCAGGACTTTGTTACTGAAATACTGAAATGCATTCCCTGGCCTTCCCTTAAATGCAAAAATGGCCTGTTTATTAAAAGCAGCATTTAATCAAATGAATTTTGAAATTACATTAGGATTTTATCAAATAAATTGCTTCAGTACAGAGCTTCATAGCATAATCCAAAACAAACCACATCACTGTTATTTTGTTAAGAAGAAAGTGGTGCAATACAAAACTTCATAGGCCCTGTCCCTTTATTAGAAAAAAATCACAAATATAAGTAAAAAAAAAAAAAAAAACAGACTTTAGCATCGAAAACAAGATTTATTTTATTTTCCCAAATTTTATGTCCATGTGAACAACACAGCCTGCTTTTACAGTTCTATAATTGTATATGCCACCTGGCCATTAGAATAGATGTCATAGTTGTGATGATGATCAATACAGTTGTACATAATATATAATGTTCAATTTTAACCCTCTGTAGTACGGTGTTGCCTCCAGGCAACATAGTCTATTTTAGCTTTTGTAATATAAAAACTAATACAATTTTATTGGTCGATGCTCTCTAAGGGGAGGGGAACTACAATACTAACCAATGAAAATGCAAAAGAGTGGTAACATGACCCACAGGGGCACACGTGCACATGTCATGTTCATTGGTAAGTAAAGAAGTATTTTTGGGGGGATGACGGGACATTTGGCCACTATAGTGGAACGGGGGCATGTGGCTTGTGAGTGGTCAGCGGGGGTTGATGGGACATTTTAACACAAAATGAAATGTCACGAGGTGACGAAATTTCAACTTCTTCCCTGGCAAGGCGGAACTAATTTTCGCTGAGATTGCCTCCCGCCGGACCCATAACAACGGAACACCGGGCTAGTGCCGGGTTAGCGCAAAAATCCCAGCGAATGGGTTGGTTAGCCAAAAAAAAAAAAAATCGCAAGCAGCTGTGCATGAGGGGATTGAAGTCCCGCGATTGGGACACGTTGCGATTAGGGGAGAGTAAAAGGAGAAAGTACAGACCAAAGAGATAACTTTTTTCTGCGACTGTGATCTCGGAGGAAGCGTGAGCGTTGGTTGATGAGGAAGTGGGGCCGGCAAACGGGCGTGGAACTGTGAGTTTGGGAGAAAGAGCACGGCGACTCAACCAGAAGGAGGTAATCGCGGGACAGTAAGATCGTTTGTGAGAGACTGTGAGTAGTCCAATCAATTTACATCTTCCTCTCTCGTGTCTATGGAACTCCCTGATGTGAATGCCAGGTCAGAAAATGGGCGACGGCCATCTATATATGTATTTCCCACTGAGTGCTAAATTGTAGAGATGAAGTGATGTGATGCACTGCTTTGATGTGTGAAGTGTGAACTTAAACCCTATGAATGTCCATTACTTACCTGAGTTTTCTATCACATTCTAAAGACATAAGAAGAGGCTAACACTGTTGTACTCCACAGACATTTGAGTGTATTATCTGTCAGCCCATTGTGAAGAGGGACACATAGGTGAATACTCATCTGACTGCTTTGCAGTGAAGACCTCCAGCTGTAAGTTCTCTGTCTGTCACCTGTAGAAGAAGAGGATTACTGGCCTGTATATTCACCTGACTGCTTTGCAGTGAAGACCTCCAGCCGTAAGTTCTCTGTCTGTCACTTATAGAAGAGGATTACGTGCCTGTATTTTCACCTGTCTGCTTTGCAGTGAAACTCTCCCGCCATAAGCTCTGTGTCTGCCGGCCCTTCAAGAGGATTACGTGACTGTATACTCACCTGACTGCTTTGCAGTGAAGGCCTCCAGCCATAAGTTCTCTGTCAGTCACCTGTAAAAGAAGAGGATTACATGCCTGTATATTTACCTCTCTGCTTCGCAATGAAACTCTCCCGCTGTAAACTCTGTGTCTTCCGGCCTTCAAGGGGAATTAAGTGCATGTATACTCACCTGACTGCTTTGCAGTGAAGATCCCCAGCCGTAAGTTCACTGTCTGTCACCCGTAGAAGAAGAGGATTACGTGCCTGCATATATTCACCTGTCTGCTTCGCAGTGAAACTCTCCCTCTGTAAGCTCTGTGTCTGCCGGCCCTTCAAGAGGATTATGTTCCTGTACAGTTCCTTCTCAAAAAATTTGCATATTGTGATAAAGTTCATTATTTTCCATAATGTAATGATAAAAATTTAACTTTCATATATGTTAGATTCATTGCACACCAACTGACATATTTCAGGTGTTTTATTGTTTTGATACTGACTTTGGCATACAGCTCATGAAAACCCAAAATTCCTATCTCAAAAAATTAGCATATCATGAAAAGTTTCTCAAAACGAGCTATTAACCTAATAATCTGAATCAACTAATTAACTCTAAACACCTGCAAAAGATTCCCAGCCTGTTTCATTACTCAAAACCGCAATCATAGGTAAGACCGCCGACCTGACTGCTGTCCAGAAGGCCATCATTGACACCCTCAAGCAAGAGGGTAAGACACAGAAAGAAATTTCTGAACAAATAGGCTGTTCCCAGAGTGCTGTATCAAGGCACCTTAGTGGTAAGTCTGTGGGAAGGAAAAAGTGTGGCAAAAAACGTTGCACAATGAGAAGAGGTGACCGGACCCTGAGGAAGATTGTGGAGAAGGACCGATTCCAGACCCTGGGGGACCTGCGGAAGCAGTGGACTGAGTCTGGAGTAGAAACATCCAGAGCCACTGTGCACAGGCGTGTGCAGGAAATGGGCTACAGTTGCCGCATTCCCCAGGTCAAGCCACTTTGGAACCAAAAACAGCGGCAGAAGCGCCTGACCATGGGCTACAGAGAAGCAGCACTGGACTTAAGGCATTTTGTCATTTCCTTCTCCACAGTCTTCCTCTAGACTCTGGCACTTTGATTTTCCGAATGACATGCAAAATTTGCTTTCATCCGAAAAAAGTACTTTGGACCACTGAGCAACAGTCCAGTGCTGCTTCTCTGTAGCCCAGGTCAGGCGCTTCTCTCTTTGGCCTAACATACACATAACACACTATTGACTTCCTAAATTCAAAAATAGGCTGCATAGTTTAGATCAGCCGGAACCAGGAACACGTCCCGTAAATCCTGATGTACATGGTACATCAAAAGAAGGATGGTGTCTACACTAATTTTAGTTTCTCTGTTTATCCTGAGGGACCCTCTATGGTGGACCTGCGCCTGGACCCATCCCGACTCATCCTTAAGTGCCGGCCTCATCCACACGACATAAATTAGCACTGATCCTCAACATCTCATCTCCAAACCGGCGTGATTACTTCGACTTACAAACAGATGGAAATGGACGAATTCTCATAATGTTTCGATCCAGTTTGTTTTGTAATGACTGTTCCTTTGTTGGCCAGAGGAGAACTGTTTTTAAGTAGTTTTTAACTCATTAAAAATACTAACCAATCGCAGACGGCCGACTAGGACCCCGACATGGGTGGGAGCGACATAGCGGTAATGTTATTTTAGGCCTATTATTTGTATATTTAACATAAAGGTAATGTTATTGTAGGTCTATATTTATATACATAAATAAGACACTTTATGTTGAATAGGGAGTGTTGTGTAAATGTTACTAACTACATCAACAAACATCATACCCTTTTCATTAACAAGTTGGATCAAGTTGTATAATGTTCTTTAGAGTGTAGGGTGACCATATTTTGATTACCAAAAAACAGGACACTTGGCTCAGCAAACATACTGTATCCTTAAATGATACTCGAAGTTTACTCAAAGATGCCTTATTAATTTCAAAACATTTAAAGTAAGCTATGCCTTCTCCGTGTGGATAGAAAATGAAATGGTTATATTACAAGACACAAATTCAGATTTTTTTTTTTTTTTGAAAACCAGGACATTTTCATCACTTTATAAAAAACAGCCGGGACAGGATGTGAAGACAGGACTGTTGGTCACCAAAAAGCTGTGGAAAAATGTGAAATCACAGAAGGCCACATTCCAGATGTGCCAATGTTGGTTATCATAGAGAATGCTACTGTATATGCAGTATGCTAACAAAATAAATATTTAGAGAGCCAGCAAGAAGAAAAGACAAAACAGGAAGTTGAAGGTTTGTTAGGCAGCTTTATAATGGTTAAGTGAAGCCTAGTTGTTTGACCTCATATGTTTGGATAAATCATGGTATAAATCCTTAGAATCGTTTTTAACCCCACACATAAGCTATTGATATTTAAATCTTAGAAATACTGAAAAACATACATATTGTATAATATAATTATATATATTTAAGTTAATTATTATATATTTATTCTAACAAAGGTTAAATATGTATTATCTTAGCATGACCTTTATAACTAAATACCAATTCAACTATTTGGTCAAGCAGGCTTTATTAATATTAGATGGCAGTAATAGGCTATATGTATAATGGTAGAACATTTAACACATGTTAACAACATAAATAGAACCCTCCGAAACTATGCACAAAAAAATAAACACTGCCCATGTAAACACTGCCAGGCCAGACCATGGATGTATAAGAGAAAGACCAGACATAACCCTGTGTATTAATAGCCTCATAAAGCCTAATAAAAGGCTTCTATAGTCACATTTTTCAACACGAAATGTGCTCCACCAATCAGGTGAGCAAAACATTAAAAGGTTTTTATGATGAACCGTAAAAAAACAAAAGGAATTTTCACTGTTTCAGCAGAATAGATGTGTCAGGGCATAGTCAGATCAGGTCAAGATGTCTCTCACAGGAGGGCTGAGGATCTGGGATTACCTGGGGGGAAACAGATGAGCATAGTTGTAAACAGTCAGACATGGGCAGTATTTCAATTAAATGTATTTTAAATACGTATACGTATTTAAGTACGAGAGGATCCCTCTTGTCTTTTGTGTTCATCAACTGCCACATTCAGGCACATTTTGACAGGGGGTAAGGTGGCTCTTAGTCAAGGTCGGTTTACTTGACCAAGTACTGCGATGTTTAGCTTTAGGTACGAAAGCAAGCATAACATAACTAATAAGTTGCCACCCCTTCTAAAAAAACAATACACACAGAAGACAATATTCCTCCACCCAGGCGAGCAACCACCAAGAAAAGGTGCTAAAACCAATTCTTGCTCAGGACAACTGGAAGCTGCTAGGGACTGGAAAATGCTGGCCGATCTTGATCAATGGCTTATTTTTTCACCTGAGATTGCCACCACTAACCTCCGACCAGATATTGTTCTGTGGTTTGAATCAGCACGCATTGTTCAACTGATAAAAGTTAACAGTGCCATGGGGGGATGCTGTAGATGAGGCATTTGAGAGGAAGAAACTGTGGTATGCTCATTTAGCCACTGAAGCAGAACAGCGAAGATGGAGAGTCCAGGTTTTTCCAGTAGAAGTGGGTTGTCGAGGATTTGTGGCACACTCTACAACCCGGTTCCTCAGAGACGTCAGATTCAGTGGCCAAGAGTTGTGTCTTAGTTGTGTCAAGACTTGTGTTCCTGTGTATATTGCGTGAATGAGGGTTTATGTTTAGGCAGATATTGTGTTTTGTGGTAGGTAGTATGCCATACGGAACAGTGCCCTCTGAACTAAGGCTCGACAGCCTTAGTCAAACAGGTTGACGCTTATGGTTGGGTTGCAGAGAGATTGTAAGATAGTGGTTAGGTCACATATGAACTACGAGGAAGGAGCAACCTCAGCAGCAGGAGGGATGTAAAGGTTAGTAAGCTGGGCTGAATTGAGTGGGGGACCGAAGGGGGTGACACTGGGACGCCCGAGTCACTGTCGAGCTCTCTTGAGGTGTCGTGGGCTAGTCGACGAAACACTGAGGACAGAAGGTGCCCACTTGAAGACCCTAGCGATGTCCCCTACTCGGCTCAATCCAGACAGTTGTCGTGCGGGTCCACTGAGGAGACCACACTGTAGATGCAGCCATTCTGTGCGCTGACTCGCCAATTACACTTCAGCCGTTAATGCCGGACAGAAGGAGATTTACATTATTATATGGAAAGAAACGTAAATGGATGGAGAAGCATAGGTTACTGTAAAGCTATGTTTTAGTTTGTGCTTATCTTGGCGAAAGCCGAGTACAAACCAGCATGAGGTTTTAACATCTACTCTCGTGTAATGGAAATCATGAGTTATTAAGAAGGTTGGGTCTCTCGCGCTCACAAAGAATATGAAAACCTACCCGAACTGAATAGTTTTTGGCATGTAATTGTATATGCTTGGACAGCATATCATCAAAAATGGAAATGGAAATACAATATCTTCCTCGCCCTCAGATGAACCCTGTTTACAGCTGAGCTTGGTTTGCACAGCCTTTGCAGGATAAACAGAGACATTGCCAGAGCCCTATATATTTCATCGAACTTTTGGCACTGATTGGGCGGCTCTCCACAAATGGTGCAACTGGGGGCTGTATTAGAGCAAGCTGGTGTAACAGACACACACATGAATAATTGAACATTGTGGGCCTTCTCTGATAGTGCTTGATTCATCTGCTGCCTCAGACCGGGATGAGGTAGTGCCAATTATTTTAAAACCATTGACCATTCTTTCACTGAGAAAAGTCCTCCCCCAGCCTCTCCCTCCACTATCATCTCTGTTCTGTTTTTGCTGTTCCACGCTCAGGCTCTCTCAGGGCTCACTGCAGTATTGATCACACCACGAAAGCCTTGCTAACAGACCCTAGGCCCGGTGTTAAGGCTAACAAGGTGAGAAATGATAATGGAAGAGAACGGAGGCACAATGCGTTAGGGGGTCCATTCTGACCTCAGCCTGCTATTAGTATTCTCTATATAAGATCATCCAATTTATTGTTCTTCTGGGGATTCGGGAGAAAGACCTTTCTCTCTTCATCCCAGCTTAACTTCAATGTTTAGCTCATCCTTTTCCTTACAATGCCACGTCCTTTGCAGAAATAAAAAGAGTGTGAGATGATGAAAATATGTAACCGCTCAGTAATCCCTAGCATTTGACTATGGAAGGGTTAAAGACAATGGTATGAAGATGGGCTGCATCAGGAGATTTGTGGATAGACCGATTTCGATGAATGCAAAGATTTATATTCAGGCTTTCTACGAGTACATATTTATTCACTTGGCATCCGTAGAGCAGATCCAACCCACTGTCTTAAAGGGATTAGATCAGCGCTAAGGTGAACAAGAGGTCGCTTATTGTTGACAGCTAATCAAGAACACATCGATCAAATGTGTATCAAAAATAAGACAGCACCTTCCTAGCACCTTATAGTATTGTATAATTATTGTGTAAGGTGTACAAGGTTTAAATGTTTTAAGTACCCTTGTATTCCACACACACACACACACTCTCTTTCCACAGGAGGGGGCACTATGAAACATTGTGTCAATGAATGAATAATTAAAAATATTTTCAAGGGGAAAAAAGAAAAAACAAATATGTTTTCAAATGTGTCCCTGGACCACAAAACCAGTGACATGGGTTCATTTTATGAAATTGATATTTATACATCATATTTATACATCAAAGCTGCATAATTAAAGAGGTCACGAACTGGCTTTTTAAATTTATTATATTGTTGTCTGAGGTCAACTTATGACGTTCACTTTTGGATTCAAAAACATCAAAATGAATCAATAATAGGCTATTATGTACCCTGGTTTTGAGCATAGCTGAAAAACGCTCGGTTTTTATGGGCTTCTCGCACTGACTTTTCCTTTAGCGTCAGTTAGATGATGCCGTAGGATCGCGTTATGTAACTGACGCTAAAGGGCGCCTAAAGCGTTGAATATTGAAGCATGGTCAAAAGGTGACGCCTTGGGGTGAGAATGCGTTGTGCATTTGGGGGAAACTGTTTTGAAAACATCCAATGTTGTAAAATGGCAACCGGAATGGTTCGCCCAAACATGTTCGACCCAGAGTCCGTGTGTTGCACCACTCCTGTCAGATCCAATATAGACGGCACAGCACCATTCTTTACTCTTAATCAGTCTGCAAATCCAGTCTTGTTTACAAAACAATCCTCAGTGAAATGAAGCGAACAGACAATGTCTTACCTCATCAGCTGGAACGTCATTAAAAATAAAGTTTAACCATTTATTCCTATTGGAATCCAGAGAAAGCTTATGCAGCGACTGTCTTCTTCCACAACCAGGCATTGCACAATACTTTGTATGGCTCGGTAGCTCGATCCGGTTTGTCATCACGAGGTAGGCCTATGTTATTTAGCTATGCGAATCGGTGGGCGGGGCTAAACCGGTTGTGTTGAAGTAGGCATTGACCTTCTTTTGCGGGGGTGGTGTTTTATCCGCTTTGACGTCATTGTTTCAAACTTTGAAAAAAACAGTCATTTGCTGAGGCTGGTGTCAATAAAAGCTTTTACTGGACAAACCAGGATGTTTTCAGTTCTGAAACTTACAGGATATTCTTATAATATGATGACTTCTTAGATGTCAAAAGCTTAAGGAAAATTTAATTTCTTCACCCCTTCAAGCTTTCCATTGATGTATGGTTTGTTAGGTAGGAAAATATTTGGCTGAGATGCAACTATTTGAAAATCTGTAATCTGAGGGTGCAAAAAATAGAAACATTAAGAAAATCACCTTTAAATTCTTGCATTTATTTTTGCGTTTTTGCTGCATTCAATCATACAAATAAATGTTTTATATATTTACGCTAGGAAATTTACAAAATATCTCCATGGAATCCTAGTCATTTTTGGCATAAAATAATAAAAAAAAAATCTATATGTTTGACTATTGCCATAGAAAAACCTATGCTACTTGTGACTGGTTTTATGAACCAGGACCACAAATAATAGATGCAGAAGCCTGTGGGACCTTCAAGTGATGATGTTTCTCATTGGATGGATTAAACAGATGCATTCTCTGCAGGGTGGTTGTTGGCTTTTCATCTGAAAATACTTAAGGCCAAAAAGACAGCAGATAGCACAAAGTTTTAACCTTGTGGCTTGGCTTTCAGAAAAGTGAATTTAAAGTTGGTGTTAGTGTTCTGACAAGTCAGAAATCATGTAAGTGTTTGCTGACACAGTAAAGTAAGTTCAAAATCAAACCTTAAAACTCAGTTAAAGCAACTGGTTCACATTCATCTTGAGATCTTTATGACCACAAATTAACAAATTTCTTGGCATAGCCCAGATAAATTTCTTGCCCACTGTTAATTTTTATTTAGATGTTATCACATTGGCCAAATATTTTTGAATGTGTATTAGCAGCTCTGTTGGCCCAATAACAGCAAAAGAAAGTGGAAGTGCATTGAGAATGATAATCAATCATAATGGAATTAAAAATAAAAACTATTGGAGAAATGGGATGCCATATTTTTCATTTGGGGATATTTACAGTTCTTCAGTTGACAATCTTGAAGATGTATTAAGCACAGAAAGGGGGAGACTAGAAGAATCTGCCAATAATCCATCAAGTCATCCAACAAATAAATGAGTACAGTGAGCTTCACTCTCTATGAAAAGGGAATCTTTCAAAAGATTTAACCATTTTGTCCAGTGAAACTCAATGGCTTCTTTGGCCTTACTCCACCAGAGGAGATATACTCATTGTGTATTGTCATGAAACATTAATTAGTAGGTTTCAGGCTAATGAGATTAATATCATGAGGGAGACGTTCTTTAATGCAAGAGAAAAACCCTCACTGTGAAAGGGCACAATTGCCCTGTCATTATTACAATATGACAAGACGTGAGGGGAACTTGGTCGTTGCACTCTTTACCAAGTAATGGTTAGAAATAAAAGTGGATGAAAGAAAGTTAAATGCATGCACAAA